CCAAGAAGCTCCGGCTTCTTCTGAGGCAGTGGTTCCGATTGACGCTGGGCCAACCACAGAAGACCTGCCTTTCGAGACCAACGTACTCGAGCCGTCAATCAACCGGCAAGAGTCAATAGATACCCTGCAAGACTTTTTCCCGAGAGCGTCTGCGAAGGGTTCTTCGTTAAAAAACATCTGCAGAACTACGTATCATCTACATCTTCACATCTTCACCTCTGCACATCCACATTCTCACCTATATCTCTGCTCATGTTCACATCTGCACGTCTACATCTCTGCTCATCTTCACATCTGCACATCTACATCTCTGCTCATCTTCATCTTCACATATCTACATCTTCACATCCTCACATCATCTCTGCTCATCTTCACATCCTCACATCTACAGCTCACATCTTCACCTCTCGCTCTTCTTAACTTTCTCTCTTAAGGCCGGGGGCAGTGCCGCCGGACCGCCACGAAACGCAACCCTCTGCGGAGATCGTGCGCGTCGGACGCGCGAAATGCAGGCGAGAGTGCGATTTGTCCCGGTCCGGCGCAACCCTCTGCGGAGACGTGCGTGTCGGACGCGCGAAATGCAGGCGAGAGTGCGATTTGTCCCGGTCGCGGCAACCCTCTGCGGAGATCGTGCGTGTCGAGTGCGCGAAATGCAGGCGAGAGTGCGATTTGGTTTTGCCCGGCGCAACCCTCTGCGGAGATCGCACGTGTCGAGTGCGCGAAATGCAGGCTAGAGTGCGGTTTGACCCGGTCCGGCGCAACCCTCTGCGGAGATCGCGCGTGTCGATCCACAATGTGGACAGTGGGGAAATGCAAAGACTGTGTGTTTGACAATGGTGGTGTTGCTAATGCGCGCCGGCCGCGCGTGCATAATCAGAATTTTTTGAGTCATGGGCCCGTGTCAACGCAAGTGGCACAAAATGTACCCCAAGATGAGCCAACAGCCAACAGAGGCCCCCAAGATAGGTCAAAGATGGGTTAACATCGCCCCAAGATGGCCTAACGTAGGCCCAAGATGGCCCAACATAGGCCCAAGAGGGGCCCAACATAGGCCCCAGAGAGCACAACGTAGGGCCAACATGGGCCCAAGATGGGCCGCCAACAACAACAACAACTGGTGGGTGGCGATTGGTTGGCGTGACAATTGATTGATGACAATTGGTTGAGGACCATGTTTTTTATAAAACAGGCCTTCAAAAATAACCATTTCAGAAGGGCAGAGACCTACCAACCAGCTGTCACCAACCAACTGCCACCAACCAATTGTCACCAACCAATTGTCACCAACCAATTGCCACCAACTAATTGTCACCAACCAATTGTCATCAACCAATTGTCATCAACCAATTGCCACCCACAATCAATTGCCACCCACCAATTGATACCAACCAATTGCTGCCAACTAATTGTCACCAACCAATTGTCACCGACCAATTGCTGCCAACCAATTGTCACCAACTAATAGTCGTCAACATCAAACAATTGCCACCCACCAATTGTCGCCAACCAGTTGTCACAACCAATTGCCACCCACCAATTGCCACCAACAAACTGCCACCAACCAATTGCCACCAACCAATTGCCACCAACCCATTGCCACCAGGAAATTGCCACCAACCAATTGCCACCAACAAACTTCCACCCACAAACTGCCACCAACCAACTGCCACCAACAAACTGCCACCAGCCAACTGTCACCCACCAACCGCCAATTGTCCGCTCCTGTGTCTGGTGAAGTTGTGAACATGTGGGGTTATCCGGTCCGATAATTTGAGCGGGACAGCCCAGCAGGCAACTAGCGCCAAACAGAGATGGGCTCACTCCCACATAGAAAAGACATCTCATCGCTCAGCCTTGGTTTTTGTCTATGCTAACTCCGGCGCTTTACTCTATCGGTTTCCATCTTTCCGAGCTTTTTCCACCATTGAATGGGAGCTATTGCAGAGGCCTCTCTCTACCGGTGCTCACGAACACGCACCACGCACTATTTTCAAGCCACTACCAGAACGGTGACAGGCACGGCGAAAAAGCTGTTGTACCACTGCGCTGTTCACCGGTTTGCCTAGCGTGACTCTCATGCTCCACACTTTTTTGCGATTACATGGTATGTATTGGATCCTTTCCCTTCCTGTCCCAGAGATTGGATACAACTTCTTTTCGGAACCCCTATTTTTCCGTGATGTTTCAGATTTTTTCCGGGAATTTGTTTCGCGTTTTTTCCCCTACTGCTTTTGCTTTTTGTTTTTGCTTCTGCTTTTGCTTTCTGCTTCTTCTTTTGCTTTTGCTTTTTGCTTTGGCTTTTGCTTCTGCATTTGCTTTTGCCTTTTGCTTTTCCTTATGCTTTTGCTTTTTGCTTCTGCCTTTGCTTTTGCTTACGCATTTGCTTCTTCTGACTATCTTCTTTGCATTGACACTGCCACAAAGTTGGATCATAAGACCTTCACCTTGAGCTTTGACACCCAATTACACCAATCAAGAAACGAAGCAGCCCAGCGCAGTCTATATTTGATTTGCATTGCGGGGGAGGCGCTACGCCCTTCCCCGCACCCCCTCCCGCTTGTTCAAAAGTTCCCACTACCATCCACCACCCCTACTATTTCCAATACCTCTATCACTCGGACCACCCCGCGACGAGTCTTACCACAGTTACCGCAACTACTATTTTCTTTCCGTTGACGCTGCCACATAGGTGGATTTCCACTTTGCTTTGCCCAAAGTAAGGAACCCGAAGCCACTGAAACCCAAAGACAACTGCAGAAAAGTACCTATTATAGTTCCTCTCTCCTCTTTCCTCACTCCTACTTCTCCTTCGTTAAGTGGGATGCCTTTTCCGGAAGAACGCCTAAAGAAACCCTAAAGACGAGAAACCGAGCCCAAAGAAACCCGATTCAGTGAAGCTAAAGACAACCGCAAAGAAGTCCCTAGTAAGTGGAATACCTTTTCTGTTCCCTCCCTTTGTCACTGTCACGCTGGCTTTGGTGCTTCGTCCCCTGCCCTTTCTGCTGCTCCTAGTGCTTGTAAAGCACTCCCAGCAGAAGCAAAAGCAAAAACAGTAGGGGAAAAACGTGCAAAATTTCCGGAAAATATCCATCGCTTCTTTTCATATCCGCTTGCCACAAGAAGTTTCCTTACTTATCCACTCAAAGCAGTGACAGGGAGACCCTTTTCTGTTTGTCACTTTGTCAACTTATCAGCTTTTCTGCTCAAACCCCTTTTTGATTCTCGAGAACGATTCCGAACGCTGTGGACGCTCAATGGCAGCACTACTACTGGCAGCAATACTTGCAGCAGCAGCACCACCAACATGCCACGGCGACTCCTCACTACATACCTACAGATGTTTGGGCCCATGACACACGCCATTCGTACCCACCAATCCCATCAGCACCAACCCTACCACCAGTCACCTAGTTCTCACTCACTCTCACATCAACCTGATTTTCCGCCACCGCCCCCCTCCACCCAGCGACCCCACACCAGCAGCACCGGTGACCTCTGCATCTCCTCAGCGGTTTAGACACATGGCTCAGTGAAGTTGTTGGCTGACGGCCCATGCCGCAAGAATACATACCACAAGCTAGGGTTTGTTGGAATCATGTGTTTGTGTGGGTGGAAAACTGACAAGCATGTCAGTAGGGCTGGTGCTTCACTTTGGTTAGAATGTTTTGTGCGCTGGCGCTGGTCTGCGATGAGTGCATCAAAGCAAGCACTGCCAGCTGTGACCCAGCTCAGTGATTCTGATGGCGGTGAAGAATGTGGTGGCAGGCTATTGGCTCCAGTGAACCTATATACTGTCCGATGACTCCGAGTCTGACAGTGCAAGTGTTGTCCAGGGAAAATCGAGAAAGCGAGAGAAACAAAGTGGACTCCCAAAAGAGAAGCCACGAGTTCGCTTGCAATCTCCTCCAGAACTGGAAAAGCTCGTGGCAAACAGAACTGCTTGCATCGCTTTCAGATGGTGGGCAAGTTTACGGACCTAGTTGAATATCGCAAGCACTTTTGTGAACTGCGCAAGATTGACCAAGACCAACTCGCTCCTTTGACCCCAAAAATGTATTCTTTGTTTTGGCCTTGGAATGTAGGGTTGGCCCTTTAGTATGTTGTCTATTGGGGCTAGCGCGGGCCCTGACCAGTGGCTTGCAACTTGAGGTGTTTGATGCCATCATTCGCGAGCTCACCATGCAGGCAGACGCCAAGGGGCTGCCGACCATTGAGTGGAAATTTTTGCACACCCCGGTCTGTTTGGAAGCTTGGAAGAAGTTATCTGGTGTCGGTTTCCTGGCTGTAAAGAACGCTTGCGTAAGTTGCCAGTTGTCCACTCAGACTAAAACAGAAGGCTTCCCAAGTCCCACATGACCCCTCCGAATCAGGAACTTTAAGCTATTTTTGAAGGGCATAAGTTATAGTCCAGACCATCGCGTGACGCAACAAACCCATAGGTTCTGGCCGCTTCCGACGGTTGCGGTCGGCAGTCGCTGATGGGATGGCCAGTCCTCCGGTCGATTTGCGATATTTGGAAAGACCGCTGCAGAGAGTGAGTGGTGACAGTCGGCGGGCGCAAGTTGTCAGTTTTTTGGAAGGACTCTACAGCAGTGTACCTGAAACCCTGCCAGACGTGAAGGATGACACCATGGAAATCACGTTTGATGGGAGCGGCGCCGCTGACTCAGAAGATGCGTACGCCGACGCTTTGTCTTTGACCCGAGATGACCTTACCTCTGTGACTGCGCCTACGCGTGGAACAAAACGTATCAGGACAAAAATCAAGTCTGTGAGAATGAATGAGGGACGCCATCCACTGCATTCAGGCCTGGAGGTGAGGTGGCTCCCTCCGGGGTCCATTAAGGACTACTGGGAGCAACTCCGCGCGAGCGACGAAGAAGAAAACATCTCATTTAGCTACTTCTGGCGGGACACTTGCGCAATGAAACCTTCACACGCTTTTGGGATCCCACTATGCTGTGTGACCCTTCAAAAGCAAAAATTCTTGTTCATAGCGTCATAGGACCTTGTAGGTTTTGTTTGCCACCATTCAGGTATGGTATGAGGACTACCCGCACATGAAGTTTAGACAGAAAACAATGCACAGTGTTTGTGGCACTTGCCTACGACACCGGAACCTCATCAGAGGCTTGGGGAGCCATGTTCTGGCACGCAGGAGGCAGATTCAAGAATACACTGCACACCTTCGTGCCCAATACCGCGACCGCGTCGAGTACTGGTCAAGACGAGGCGCGGCAAGATTGAAGTCCACATCTCTATGCTTGATCATCGACCCGATGGATCAATCGAAGTTTCAATTCCCTAGGTGTCCCGAGATGCGAAGCAAAGAACTGGCAAGCTTCCACAGACCGAGATGCCACTTGACAGGCATCATATGCCACGGGCATGGGGTACTGCTGTCAATAAGTGACCACGACGTACCAAAAAGTTCGTCCACGATGGTGGAATTGGTCGCCCGCACGCTCACGAGGTTGGAACAGAGTGGCGTCCGGTTGTCGGATTGTGATCTTCGGATCCAATCCGACAACACGGTACGCGAAATGAAGAACAACATTCTCTTACGCTACATGGCAATGCTCGTGTCAAGCGCAACTCTGCGGTCCATTTCTCTCGGTTGTTTAACCAGCGGACACTCTCACGAAGACATCGACCAGATGTTTGGGAGCGTGGCCCGGTTTGTGATACGAAAGTGCAAGGTGGCCAATACACCCATGGACTTCCAAAGCATCCTTGTGGATTTCTTGGCGCAGCTACCTCGAGCGCATGAACCAAACCGATGGGTTGTAAAATTAGACAAAGTTCGCGACTGGTCGCTTGTCATGATTGGCAAGTTGCTTGTTGCCGTGAGAAGCGTTTAGCTTTAAAGCTGGAAGGTTTTTCTCACACTTTAACATGTCCCTGGGTACACTTTGATCAAAAAGGGGTTCTCAGAAGCAATTTTCTGCTCGGATTCGATCGTGAAACAAACACCCCCCAAGTCCTTATATAAATATATAGTAGGCAGGTCTTTTCATGGTCGAGTCTGAGCGGAAAAAGTTGCGTGGTGGCGAATCCCAAATGATTTGCGCTATGATGGTTAAATGGCGCTTAAAGCACCAACCAGGCAGCCTTAAGCTTCAGGCTGAGTCATTTGCTTCGCGTCGTGTCGCCCATTTCGTGTTTCAGCCTATCGCTTCACGTTGTCGGACCCAACATCATTGAGCCATGGACATGGTATGTGGTTTGCGGGGTTCGAACCCCGCACTTTTCGAACCTGCGCTATATAACCTGCGGAGCCAGCAAACCTTTTAGGCGAATTTTTGGAGGTGTCCGTTTTGTAGCCTTAAAAGTTACTAAACCAAATAAAAACGGACACCTCCAAAAATTGCCTTTTAGGGTCTGTTGAATTGTTGGTCCTTTCTTGGTAACAGCAAGCCAGGTTGGTGTTGTTCTTTCGCTTACGGTCTCGGTGCTCATGCCTGAGGAAAGGTTTTATTGCGGAGGGCCTCCCTGTCACTGTCAAGGGTTTGAACGGGCCGGGCGCGCCCCACTTACTCCAATTGGATCGCAGATGTGACTTAGGTGGCTTGTCAGGCTAGCGACTTCACCCGATTGTGTGAGTTTTTGTGGCAAACAGCAAGTGGTGGCCCAGGTCCGGAACATGTGGTTCAAGATCCGTTTTGGCAGTTGGAGCCACGGAATTCTGACGTGATCCTTAGGCGCAGTGGAATGCATTTATGCTTCCTTGAATTATGCGCAAATGCCATGCGTTTTGATGACCTGACTGTAAACCGGCGGCGAAAGTTTTTTCAGCAGGACCAAGCAGTATCTCTCTGACCGAGACTGGAAGACTTGCCACAACTTTTTCCCCAAGGAAGTGGCAGAGATCAAGTTGAAACTGGGGGTTCCGGCAGGACTGGTCCAGTGTTTGGGTTAGGGCGGCCGACTCTTTTGGTGTGTTCGGAGTTGGAGTGTGCCAGGACTTCTCGACAGGAACCCCATCGGACAGGACTATGCAGACCACATCACAAAGCATCTTTCAGTTTTGAGGAGCTATGGACTTCACAAAGCTGCGCAGTACTTGGAGGAATGGGTCTCAGGTACTACATCGCAGGAGCCTCTACTCGATGTATCTGCGCCACTTGACATCAGTTCCATGAACAAACATGTTTACAAGCGAAGCTTTGCAAACTCGTCAGGGATGGAATGTTGCTGCCATTAGTATTGGACCCTTCTTCTCAAGCGTGCCTTGTATCAGGTGCTGCGTTCTGAGTGGCCCTCGATTCCTCCGCGAGCCCAAGACCTACAACCCAGTGTCGTTCGGCCCCCAGAGCCGAATGTGTTGAAGCAGCAAGCCTGCAACAAGGACACACTCCGCGCTGGCAATCCAAGAGTATTCGCATGACATTACTATTGTGAAACGATGTGTGTTTATTGCGCGAGTGCATTAGCCTCACTCCCCAAGGCTGGGTGCAAATCCAGACCGGAAGAAGGATGCGGACTCCTACATTGCCAATTCCCGCAACCGCATGATTGTACAAGCAGCTGCTAGCGCATGGGCCAACGGAGTCCCATGGGCTGAGGCTTTGAATATTGCAACAGATGCTATTCAACGTGCATGCCCAAAGGCAAAGCCTCTTCCAAGAAAGATCCCCAAGAACCGGCGATAGAGCGCGCGCCCATGCCCCCACACTGAGCCAGTGATTTCTGTGAGGTGTTGCAAACATACTATCACATCATGTAAGTAGTTGGTGTTTGTAGGCAATCTACTTGGAAAGCGCGCGTGCAACCCTAAAGGGGTTTGGTCGAACCTGGTTCTGGGGTTTTGTTTTCTGAGCAATTTGCAGGCCTTTTGGCAGGTTTCTCAAATGAGAAAACAGCTCTTTGGCAAAAAATGGCAAATTTGAACCTCAAATTTGAAAAAAGCAAAAAAATCGTCGTCGGCATGGACATTTACGGGGGCCGTGGTTGTGGCGAGAGATGTCAGCTCGAGTTTTCAACACTCATCACGCTTGAGTTATTGTGCTTCAAGAGTGTTGGAAAGGAGGTCGGATTCAACACCAATCCAATCATTGCAGGAATGTCGAAGACTGTTTTGGAAAATTAGAGTGACTCTTTCAAAGCAAAGCAAGGCAAAAGTGTTGAAAGCGAGGTTGGTTTCAACACTTCCTGCCCAAACTTGGGTCACCCAGATTGGTGTTGGGAGTGCCCTGGTAACTATTTTGAGAAGTGTCGGATCTCGATACTCAGACAATTCTTCTGGACTTTTCGTGCGCAAAGTCAAGTGTTGATTCGTATCCGCATCCGACACTTTTGCAGGCATCTTCTAGAAGTGTTGAATCATACCCGGATCCGACACTTTTCTTCAACAAGGTCGGATACTTTGACCGTTCGTTCATTCCAGCTACCAAGTTTTTCCGAAAGAAACTACTTTACGGTACGTGGCAGGGAAACATGTTGGAGCGGGACTTCCGAGCACCGTTTTGTTCAAGCTGGCGCTGGCGCGACACATTCACTCGCGATGCCCCGCAGTGCAAAGAAGAAGGATCAGGCTCCTTGGCACTTGCCAATCGCATGTTGGGAGGTTCTTCTTTTTGGTGAGGCTCGCGTGTCCCGTCATCGTCAACGCCGCTCCAACGCCACAGTCGCTGACGATTCCGGGTGTTCTGGCCTTGGAATTCTTTAAGTCGGTTCATGTTTGGATTAGGTCAACTATATATGTTCAACTGAAGGCACGACCACACAACTATTGGAGGGCCAGGATTTGCAGGCAGGGTGCCTGTTGAACGCGGCGCGTGCACCGTTTACCTAATGTTTTTAGCGCAGGCACAGGCGCAATGCAACGTTTTGCGAACATCGCGAAGCGTTCAGGAAGAGCTTCAGCCTGACAAGATTTTGAGAGGACGTGATGCCTTCCTCTTGCAATATGAGTCAATCAGGGAAGGTGCATGTTTGTCAGATGTGTGTTGGCTGATTACTTGATTTGCTTTCAGAGTGTATATGACACAACCCAGATCCAGTGGTTTGCGCAGGTGATTGTCCACTAGGGTCCGGCAGTGCGATTTTCTTGAATGGTGAGAGCCCGGGCAAGAGCAGCAAACAAGTGTTTCAGCCTTGGTGAGAACCGAAACCTGCCACTTGAGACACTTATTATTTGCGATTTCTTTATGTATAATGAGCCTTGTTCACTCCAATGTGGGAAGCTCCTGTTTGCGCGGCCGGAAAGGAAATGGAATACTATGGGAACCATTTGATTTTGATTGGCGACGACAATGTCAAGCCCGAAGACCCCCCTCACTGTTGCTTTTTGTTGCCAGAGCTTCCTGAGAACTTGGGGGCAGCTGTATTGCGCATCTGCCCCGAGAAGTACATCGCGTTGAGGGATGGGATGAACAAGGCGCCTAGCTGCTGCTTCTCGATTATTGCTTTAAGCTGCGTGTTTTTTGGCGTCCACTGAACGAGTGTCCGCAAGTTTGCCAGAGCAAGTCCAGGTGCAAGGAGTGTGGCTAGTAGCGTGAATCATTCATATTGTTGGGGTGCCCCGTGGAACTGAGGTTCGCCAGTTACTATTCAAGCCGTGCCGCCGCCGTGAATCCTAGCTGACCAAGTGTCACAGGTCAGTTTTGAAGCTTCGACATTCAGGTGCGGAAAAGCAATCTAAAGTGTGAAGCTGTGATGCCAGAGACAGTTCCAGATTCAAGTGTAGATGTCGCTCAGCATTCACAGCTTGTCATAAATTTTCAGGATTGGCTCATTACACAGGGTTGAATGCAATTTCACGGGATACCATGGCGCCTAAGAAAAGGAAGTCTGGCGGCCGAAAGCGCGAAGGCTGCCAGGCTGCCTGATGACACCCCCGAATATGTTGTCAAGATCCGGGAGTGGATTCATGGCTGCAATCGGTTTGCAAATCAAATGTAATTCGAGGGAGTTCTGCGTTTCATGCATTGCGTGGTCTATTTTTGTTGTGCCTGAATTCAGCATTGCAATCAGAAGCAAGGAGGTGTGGTTTGTAGTAGAGCGCACCTGCCAAGAACCCGGATTCGGAATTCGGTCCAGTGCGTGAGGCTGGAGCGAGAAGTCTTACCCGTGGGTGGCCCCGACGTCTTCTTGTCACGGAGGTATGGAACGAAGGAGCCTGCTTGAAACCTTTTGCAATTCTTTGACCTGCGATCACTGCTGTCCGGAAACGCTTTTCCTCACATAACCGCTCACAAGTCTTTGAGTTTATATAGCCTCATGTTAGAAAGAACATCAATCCACAAGTAGAAAGGGGACACGTTTTTCGTCGCAATCCTGACAGGCTAGGAAGCTGGAGTTTGCAAAGTGGCTCGACCACTCCTTCCCTCCAAGCTCGCACCGGAACTATGCCGATAGCTTCCGCCCTGGGCCAGTGTGCCTCCGCCCTTGGCACCTTCACTGGCGGTCTGACTACGGGCTAGCGGGTCACGCAGATCCAGAGGAGCACCTCAGGTTGTGCGAGTTGATTTTGACGACTGGCTTCAGGACCGACAGCGACTTGCTTGGCGTGGAGCGTTTGGCGGTGTTCATGCCTACGGACGAATGGCTCGATGGGACGCAGGGCGGCTTGGAGTGCCTGCCACCTTTGGAGCCTGGAAGTTGCTTGGGCTCAATGTTCTCAAGCTCAAAACAACATGCAAAGGCAAAGGTTTCGTTTCAGCCTGTCCCAATTGCGTTGTGTGCCGTTAGATTTGGGCAGTTGCCAGGTCAACTGCTGCGGCCCTTTTCGATCGGCTACGTCAAAGGGTGGCGCAGATCCGTTGCGGCGCTGATCGTCATGCAGGGCTTCAAAGAACTCGACATTGACTTAGACACCCTTCCACGCCCGATCAGAGTGTCTTGATGTTAACTCGTGTTGTGATTTGTTGAAGCCATATTCTGTGAAGAGATTTTCTTTTTTGGGGGAGGGTTGACTCGGTTGACCCAACAAATTCCAACAACTGATGATCTATGATCGGTTGACTTTCTTGAGAAACATTGGGTGAGTGACACTGATTGTCTAGCCCCAGGCCTCTTTTGGCACGATTCATGGAACCGCCGGCGAGTTCCAAGATGCAAAGCAAGCGGTGCTGACAAGTCGGGGAATTACCATGTCCTCGACAAGTGTTCGGAAAAGTCCACACTGTTTCAACATGCTCCGGCAGATCCAGGTCCTCAAGAATGCTAAAGCGATGGAATCTGCAGAAGTGGACCCCTGCCCTGTACCTTTTTCCTTTTTCAAGTTGCGCTTGGGGGTCCCTCCGAGGCTTTGTTTTGACATCCCATCGACTGGGGTTATCAATCCAAACAAATTTGAGCGATACTCCACCACTTCCGTGGGCCGTCTGACAACTCTAAAAGAAGAAGGGATACCGACAAGTTTTCAACGGAATGGTTGGCCTTAGACCTGTGCGATCGTGCACTTAATCAGGGGGATGGTGCGGTGTGTTTTGGTTTTTATAGTTTGTAATATGATATGACATATACACATAATCAGGCCCATGTGGATGCTTTATATTTGTAGGTTTTCTCAAGTTCAAAAACCGACTCCCCTGCACAGGATTGGAATAGCGCCAGCAATGTGGCGAAGGCGTTCGCCATTGGGGTGAAGGAAGCAACTGCGGTCAGTTGTTTGACCAAGGTCAATCCGGAAGTCTGCGAGTTGCTCCGTGCCGCCATTCGCGGCATGAGGCCGTTTTTGCAACACGACGTGATAGCAAAAGAATGCTTCAATGTCGGATGGAGCAGCGGGAAAATCAGCGAGTTCGAAGCGTGGCGCATCCAGCTTACCAACACAGACGAGCTGGCCACTGGCTTTCTGGAATTCAGTATGCGTTTGTTTGTGAAGCCTCAAGGTGAATTATTGCAACATGACCTCACGTGTTTCTCATGCAAAAAAGGAAATTCTTTCAGGCTTGCAATGTGACCCACTCAGTGAGGTAGCGCTATTTGTGGACAGGCTGATCAAAGACTGGGATCGTCAGCCAGTGGGACTCAAGAAGAGCTGGGGGTATCGGGAAGCTGCCCAGCTTCACGCAGTTTGCGGTGCTTTCATCCATTACACAAACGTGCTGAAGGCCAAGATCTCCGAGGAAACCTATCAGGCTGAACTGCCGGGTCTGAAGGAACAATTTGCAGGGTCATTTCTTGACCCAGAGCTTTTGCATTCGCTGCAAAGTTCAGTGCCTCCTGGCGACATCAGTAGCATCAGTGTGCTGAGGCAAGGGTTGTTGCAAAACTGGCGGTTTGTTTTCAGAAGTCATCAAGCGCCCCAAGAGTTTCACATTATGAGTCCCATGTTGGGGTTGGCACCGCCAGCGCCAACGATGTTTCCCGGCGTAACTGGGAGAAATGTTTCCTGGCACCAGGGACATCGTGAAGGCCTCCGAGCAACGACTTTCCCGAGAAGCTGAGCAGTGCAACGAGGAGCTAGAGAAAAAACTCCATGAAGCCACTTTGCAACATCTCAAGGCGAAGGTTGAGCAAGATTTGGAGCTGCTGCGAAAGCGCATGCCCACCAAGGAGGCAGAGGCTATAGAGTCTGCGCTTGATGTCAAGTACGTTAGAGACCGACAGATGTGCTTAGGTTCAACATTTGCACATTGTTTTGTGGTTTCTTACTTCTGGGTATTCGTGCATCTTAACTCAAACCCTCTCACTGAGGTGTGAAGTGTAGATATGTGTGTGAAAAGGGTTGGAAGAAATAGTTTCCTTTTCTTCCCTTCTCGTTTCTTGTCTCTCTTGACCTGTTTGTTTTTGTTTGTTCCAGGGCTTTCTATGTATTGTTCTATTCACTGCGAAGGGATCCTAAATTTTGCAGGGTCAAGGTTCTACAAACCTGTTTCTGCACGAGGAGGTAGATTACAAAAAGAAGGAATGTCCGTGACTCCATTACATGGGGTTGTTTAAATGTTCCACGCCAGCTTAATAAGTTAGGGTGATCGCCTGCGATACCAGATCAAACCTGGCATTGAAAGAACTGAACTTCTCGTACCAGATTGACAAAACAAAAAACATCAACAAACTATTTTTGATCTGTTGGTTGTCAAAATGTACGTTGACCGGTGCGGACACTTCCCTTTCAATCCCCACATGACTCAGGCAAGGCAGCAGCTGGGTGCAAGAGTGGTTGCAGGACAAGTGCAAACTGAACGTTTCGGATGAGAAAGGTTTGGAGATGGTGCAGCTGTCCTTCACCCAGTTCCAATCACGCTTTGCTGGATGCGCGGGGAAAGTGTGTGGGCCACAGTTGTCTCCAAACTCGGAACATTGATTTGCTTAGCTGAAACAGTTGGCAGGGAGCTCAAAGAACCTAAGACGTTCAAACTTTTTCTCTTTCAGTGAGGCTCGCAATTGTGGGGCTGGATACAACGCTGTGGCCATCCAACGTGAAGTTGCTGAACGATGCTGTGAAGATCACGAGCAATGTCTTGCACATGAGCGCGGGCAATTGTGCCCACATCCAGCTGCCGCTGTGTCACGCAGCGACAACCCATGCGACGACGTTGAAGCACATCAGAAACCTCCAAGATTTGCTGCTGAACGCCCAGCTGGACATTTCTTCCGAAGTGGCCCTCATCTTTACGAAAGACGATGCTGCCAGAAGTGACAGGCGCAAGACGATGCAACAGCGCTACTGTGCAACGACTAAGCAGTTCAGGAGCGAGAGTGCCTGGAACAATTCCAAGGCTGTGCAAGTCAGCCACATCCCAGGGCTGCAGCTTATCAAGGTCACTGACATGCTGGGATACGACGATGTCACCAAACCCACTCCAGGGGCGAGGGTCGAGCAGACGCTCAGCCAAGCTAGCCGGCTTTTGGTTTAAGCAGTCGTTGCTTGAGTGTGAGCAACTTTTTCGATAAGGCCGGTGTACTTTGTGTGTTGTTTGCTGGTTCTTGCGCCCGCGAAGGAAGGGTGTGGCCTGCCACACGGGCATCCTGGCTTCATATTTGGATGGCATGGATCTTGGCCCCAATGACAAGTTGATCTTCTTGGATGTCATACCGAACGGGTGTGGGAGTGTTCAACTGGGGGTTGACAGTTCATTAGTTGAGAGTATACAGGTGCAACGTATACAAGGCAATTTTTGCTTTGTTTCCTTCTTTCGTTTGACGCCCTGGCCCTGCATTGCCTTACCTTGCAGGTGCTGCGAGTTTGCAAAAGCATGCGTTGAGCACAACCTTGCCGGCAAAGCGCCAGAGATTTTCTACTTTGGATGCTTGAACAAGGATCAAAAGGATGTGGTGACATCCATCACTGAGAGGCTGTATCAGTTTTGGGATGCTTCCAAGTCAGCTCCACCGAAGACGAGGCAACGGCAAGCCCAACCCCAAGAGCAAGTTGCGTTGTCAGTTCTTGCCTGGGATCGTGGCGTGCCGAAGTGGCCAAGCTCGCTCAGTGATAAGTTCGCTGTCGGCACGCCGCAATACCTTGTCCTGCAAGACTTGAAGCAGCAGTTTGAGCAGTTGTACCCGCAATCTACTACTCAACCCACTGCTCCTGAGAATAGCGCTGTTCCTCCAAGGGCTTCTGGCCAGTGTGACTTCAGCATTGATGAGGGCCGTCAGCCGATGGATGTGCATCGTGTTGTGGATTTGGCTCCAGTCGCGACCGATGAGATCGGCGAGAGGTGGGCGACCAAAACGCCTTGTGAACCAGCCCGGCGCAGCAAACCAGTTTCAGTCAAGATGTTCAAAGTTGTTGTAAGTTGCAGTTTGCTCACGCTGGCTGATCACTTTTTTGTGTGATTGCAATGCGCCAGGCTGGCCTATGTGGCCGGGAAAGGTGGACGTCCCAGCATCATCGTCACCTCTGCCTTTGAAATCCTGCTCGGAAATGAAGACAATGCCAAAATCACCCTGGATGCTTCGGAGTTGTTTGGCAGTTTGGGTTCAATGTCGGGCAGTTCGAGCAGAAAGTTGTCAAAGATTTGAGTGCCGAGTCGAACTCTATCCCGTGGAGACTTGTCAATGACTTCAGCCTCATTGCTGCGGAGCGAACTTTGTGGCCGCTTTGTTCCTACCTGCACCATTGTGTCACACAGAAAGGGATTGCAGAGATTGGCATTGAGGATCACAAGATGACAAGCAAGTTCCACTCCAAAGTAAGCTGGCTAAGCAGCTTTAGAAACCCTATCGACTGTTTTTGTGTTTCCTTCTATTTTCAACTTACTCGTAATCCAGTGACTCTCCGCAAGGCAAGCGAGGATGTTGATGCAATCCTGTCTCCTACCGATACGACGTGACTCCGGTAGAGAATTTCAACACGAATGTCTTCAAACCAACAGCCTTGACCCAGACTGATTCGTTGAAGTGGGTGCACCTGGGAGCAGTGTTTAACGGCAAGCACAACACGCTCTTGAAGGGAAACAAGAATGCATCCATTGTGTGGCAGGCGCGATTTCACTTTCTTATCCAGGTCTGTTGTTGGGGTGAGTGATGTGGGTTGCACTTCTCTTTAGTTTGTGTCGTGCATCCTACGTGGGGTGAGGTGGAGTTGCAAGGCAACCGCTTGATCCCCAGCAAGCCAAAGGTGTACATGACTTGCTGCACAGTTCTTGAGCCGGGTCGCTGGTACAAGCTATGAGCCTCGCTGAGCCCACTCCAGGGCTTGCGGCGCCAGGTTTTGATTTCTCCCAAGTTGCAAGCTAGCAGCTGGCTGTTGTTGTTTTGAACTGTGAGCGAAAGTGTCTTATGTTAAGTGTTTTTTTGTACCAAGAGCTATCATAAATCACATAAGTCTGTACTTAGCGCTGGCCGCTGGATTGCGAGAGATTCAAGGGCCAACCTGGCCAAGTGTGGTACGGGTTGGCGTTAACTTTGGTTCACCCACGAAGCTGGCAGTTCTCGATGAAACAGGCTTTTTGAGAGATTGTTCCAAGACGTTCAGAGGCAGGATCAATAGCTTTCAAGGCTCCACTCCAGGTTCCGCATGTTGGACTAGAATGCGCCGGCTGTTTCCCACCGTGAAGTGGCTGTTTGCTTTCACGTGATGGTTGGTCGGCTCGTCATTTTTCAGTGTACGCAGTTTTTCGGAAAACAGCAGTGTCGCTGTGTGTAGGGATCTCCAGTTGCGTTATGGGGGTTTTGCCAGCGGTCACCACCTTGAGCTGCTCCTCTGAGGAGAGAATGGAATGGTGTGTCTATTGAATCTTCCTCATTGTTCAGGAAGATTCCCATTCTCTTTTTCTGCTAGGAGGAAGCTCGCAGAGCGTCCCCGAAAGCAAAGGTCAAGGCCAAAGCCAAAGTGAATCCAAAGAGCAAACCGGCGCCAAGTTCAGGGTCGAAGGGTGCAAAGGGCGCGCCTACGCCCAGGAAGCGTCCTTCCTCGAAGATGGAGGAAAATGTTGAGCCTGCTGGCGAGATTGCAGAAGGTGCTTCAGCATTGAGTCCCAAGACGCCCAAGACTACCAGTAGAGGAGGTGCACCACAGGCCTTGAAAAAGCCTTGCGCAGGCTGGGTGTAGCGTGCCATGTAGGACATTGCCTTTACCTTCACTTGCGGCGTGTTTGTGCTCTATAGTGCTGCCAGGGCCATCCAGCATAAAGGAGGACAAGATTGTTGGGCCATATTGGCACAAGAACAATTGGGCTTGGGGTATTAAAGTCGGAGGCAAAGAGGTGGCCAAGGTGCCTTCTGCGTAAACACCTATGTTTGTTGTTTGTGTCGCCAACTTTTCGCACACGCCCCGGTGCACAGCTGGCTATCGCAAGCTGTTGTGACATGGCGGGTGGCCGTTACATCCCGAAAGATGAATCCAAGAAAGTCATCGTGCTTGGCTCAAACATTTTTTGTGCTGTCAGCGAGATTAAACTTGATCACTGGCTCTACATAATTTTTCATTTTTCGTTCACGACATCGCTGCATCCCATGTGGTTGCTGGAGATTCCATCAAGGCGATCAAAACAATTATTGAACCCTTGACTGAATTCAAAACCCCGAATTCCAAACATGTCTTGTAAAGACGTGCCTTCTCCAAGGAAGAGCTGGTGGAAAAACTCCCTCGTACCGAGGAGCCCTACCAAGACACTGTCACTGGCGACTGGGCTGTGTGTTCTGCGATCTGATTGGTTGACATGATTTTCGGGGCTGGGTGTGTATTGGGCATGGCGTAGACCTGAATAGGGTTTCATGTCTATCGACCGTGTTCTGGTCAGGTGAGGCCGCAGCTGGCGCTGAAGCTGCTGGTGCTAACGGTGCGGCTGCTGGTGCTGACGGCGCGGCTGCGCCGAAGCAGGCTGCTGCCGCTGCGGCTGTGACGAAGCGGCCTGCTGCCAATTTGAGTGAGGGCGCGTTGGGTGTTGCTTCTGACACTCCCCCAGCTGTTGTTCCTGTTGAGCCTGAAGAACCCGAAGAAGAGGCCAAGGAGATCGACCCCACAATCGAACCCGAAGATGTTGAATAGGAGGCCAGGCGATTGCTTGTGTGTGGGTAGGTTTGTGCAATCACCGAAATTGTTCTGTAGGTATTTTTCTGAATTGTTGAAACATTCGACGGCCCAGTCATCCTAACCCACGTGCAAGGGCTGAATTTCTAATGTGTCGTTGCCCTGCAGCAATCCTTCACATGCATGGGCTTTCGCAGCTGCTTTGTGTAGTAGATAGGTTGTTGAACAGTTTCTGTCTGCCCTCGCAAGACTCTTGACTAACCCGGTGGCTTTGTGAAAACGTTCCTGCAGAGACCTTGAAGTTTCGAGCGCCCAGCGCGGTAAGTTGAAGGAGGCCAGGGCAAGTTGGCACACGCGAAGGCAGTGGCCAGTGGCCAGTGGCCGGTTCGCTTAGAACTTTAACTACCTCAGTTTTTTGGAGACAAAGAAAATGTTGGAGTGTCCAAATCTGACATCTACTTATTATTGAACTGACTGGCAGCTGGGAACGCCCTGTCTCACGCCCTGGATTTTTTCAGACGTGGAATTGATCGGACGTTGGAAAAACGTGAGCTGAAGGCAACTTTGCGATTCTCTCTTAAGGGTGCCCAAAACGACGTACGGTTGCCGGTTCATTGAACGTTGAGACCACATCACTGCGCCGAAGCTGACGCATCCAATTTTCAATCAATGGTTGAGTGGTACGTGGAGAGCCGAAAGATTTCACTAAAAGACGTATATGTCAACTCCACAAAAAATCAGTTTTTGGTTTCCAATCCCCCAACTTAAACGCATACACACACACACACACGCACGCACGCAGAGCCGCTGTTTTCCCAGCGAAATTTTTGTTCGTGACAAACCATGGGTCTTGTAAAAATAACTAACGGTATTAATATGAATGATGTGGTGCGCGCGGGCCCCCCAAAGATCCTCTTTAGGTGTGAACTCGCGGGTGATTAGCCGCTGCCTTCATACTACAAGCTACAATAGGCTACGACAGCTAGCCGCGAACCCATTTGCATAGTAATTTGTCAAGCCCACCCGCAGCCTTCTTTGGGCTACGAGCTACAATAGACCACCCCGGTTACTGGGAGTGGCCGATACTCTGAACTTTCTCCCTCCCACCCACCCATTCATCAATGGGGATCATGATCATGAAAAATCACGGCGGTTGCTTGTGGATTCTGAGCATAAGTGGAAGCCTGGATGAACTTTCTCCCTCCCGCCCACCCATGGTTCGGCGTCAAACATCATGGCGCAAGTTCTTTTTTAGATTGGGTCTGTGGATTCAAAACAGTAGCAAGTGGAAGCCCGGATGCAGCCAGGGAAGCCCGATCCACAGGAAAACTCCATATATGCTGCCGCATACATACCACTACCATCACTTCCTCTCCCCCAACTCCGTCTATATCAAGCTTCCCCAAGGCTCCGCTTAGTCTATCTGAGAATAGGATATGT